CTTGGCGTGTTTGCTGGCTGGTCTGGAGTTCTGGACTTAATTTTAACACCAGTGCATGTCAGTCAAGTAAGTATTTTCTTTCTTTATATGTTGTAGGTAGTTTAATTCATTTAATTTGTAAATAGTGGTTACATGTTCTTAGTTTTTGCTTCAAAGACTGGGTAAAACATTGTCCTGTTTGGTGCAAAAGCAAGATCTTCATGGGACTGTTGAAAATAATGTGATTTTCTCCCTTGATTTTGATAACTACCATGAATTTCACTTTTCTTTGGGCATTATTGATGATGTTGATTAACCAAAAAAAAAGAAAAAAGAAAAAAATGTTAGTTTTGTTGACTTCGTCATTTATCCTTGCTTCATCCTTTATAAAGATTAAGATCCCATCATTAAATATATAGCTATTCCTACATTTATTTTCTTACTTTCTCTCTGGTCTCAGAATAAAGGTATTTTATTTCTTTAAAAATAACCATTTCACCTATATGCTTGAGGCCATCCATTCCTCTATGCTTCCAGATAGCATGGTAGAAAGGGGTAGAGAGAAATTTTCTAAAAAATTGTCTTTCTAAGACAAATGGAAGAAATCCAGTACACTGGTATGGTATTCCATGGTATGAATAAAAAACAATTGGTCCATTCTGCTTTTGATGAACATTTGGATCATTTACCATTTTCGACAGTCACAAACAGTGCTATATGAACATTCATTCTCATACGTGTCTCTTGATGCACCTCTATGTACATTTCTATTGGATATTTATCTAGGAATGGAATTGCTGGCTACAGTGTATGCCTACTTTGGTAGACGATCCCTAACTGGTCCAAAGTGGTTATATCCGTTTTCAATCCTACCAGCAGTACATGAAATTTCTCATTGTTCCACATCATTACCAGCACTTGGTTATGTGGTAATGTTCCTCTTTTTCATTTTATGCATGCTGTTGGCTGTGCAGTTATATGCCATCGTAGTGACTTCTCTGGTATCTTTTCCAGGGTGAAATGGATATTTGAATATCCTTTTTTGTGACATACCTGTTCAATTCTCTTGCCCACTATTGCACTGCCCTTTTCTTACTGATATATAAAGAAGAGAGATGTGCAGAAGGGGGCTCCCCGGAAGATTTTGTGGGGTCTCCAGTAAGTCTTGGCTAGGAAATGGCCTGCACATACAAAGGGCAGAGCACTGGAAATTGTCTTAATTATTCTAGCATTATAAGTTTTGGTATTTAGTAAATATTCCCCTTTTGGGGATATTAGAATTTTTTAAATCTGTCCATCCATTTGAGAGTTGACATCTTTATCATACTGAGTTTTCCAATCATGATCATTATATTTCTCTTCATTTACTTAGGTCCCAATGTCTCTGAATAATGCTTTATAATTTCCTTCAAAGATACCTTCTATATATTTGTTAGATTTATTCCCAGGTATTTGATACTTTTGAAGCTATTGTAATTGGTAACTTTTTAAAATTTTTATTTTCCTTTTGTTACTTTTTAATTGATGTATAATAGTTGTACATATTTTGAGGGGGTACATGTGATATTTTGATACCTGTATATATAATGTGTAATGATCAAATCAGAGTAATTAGGATACCATCACCTCAAACATTATCTTTTCTTTGTGTTGAGAACATTAGAATTCTTCTAGCTATTTTGAAATATAGAACAAATTATTATTAAGTATAATTTCTGTACTGTACTATTGAATATTAGAACGTATTCTTTCTATCTAACTGTATATTTTGTTCCTCTTAACCAACTTCTCTTCATCCCCCTCTTCCGCCTTCCCTTCCCAGCTCCTAATAACTATCATTCTACTCTCTACCTCCATGAGATCCACTTTTTTAGCTCCCACATATGAGTGAGAACATGCAATATTTGTGTTTCTGTGCCTGGCTTATTTCACTTAACATGATGACCTCCAGTTCCATCCATGTTGCTGCAAATGATGAGATTTCATTCTTTTTATGGCTGAATAATATTTAAGTGTGTGTATGCGTGTGTGTGTGTGTGTGTGTGTGTGTGTGTGTGTGTGTATACACTCCACATTTTCTTTATCCCTTCATCCATCGTTGGACACTTAGGTTGATTCCATATCTTTGCTGTTGTGAATAGTACTGCAATAAACATGGAAGTACAGATATCTTTTGAATATACTGCTTTCTTTTGGATATATACTCAGCAATGGGATTGCTGGATCATATGGTAGTTCTAATTTGGGTTTTGTAAAGAATCTCCATACTATTTTCCCTAATGGCTATACTAATGTACATTCCCACCAACAGTGTATTAGGGTTCCCCTTTCTGTACATCCTCACCAGGATTTGTTATATTTTTGTCTTTTTTATTACAGCCATGCTAACTGGGGTGAGATGATATCTCATTGTGGTTTTGATTTGCATTTCCCTGATGATTAGTGATGTTGAACATTTTTTCATATACCTATTGGCCACTTGTATGTCTTCTTTTGAGAGATGTCCATTCAGGCCATTTGCTCATTTTTAAATCCGATTATTTGGTTTTCTGCTATTTAGTTGTTTGAGTTCCTTATATGTTCTGGTTATTAATCCCTTGTCAGATGGATAGTTTACAAATATTTGTATTTCTGTAGATTGTCTTTTCACTCTATTGTTTCCTTTGCTGTGCAGATGTTTATTAGGTTGACATAATCCCGTTTATCTATGTTTGCTTTTGTTGCCTAAGCTTTTGAGGTCTTCCGCCAAAATATCTTCACCCAGACCAATGTCCTGTAGCATTTACCTAATGTTTTCTTTTTAGTAGTTTCATAGCTTCAGGTCTTATGTTTAAGCCTTTAATCTATTTTGAGTTGATTTTTGTATATGGTGAAAGATGGGCATCTAATTTGTCAAAAACTTACAGTTGGCTGCAGGTGCATGGATTTGTTTCTGAGTTCTCTGTTCTGTTCCATTGGCCTATAAAATTTTATTTATATTCCAATTGTTGGCTGGCATACAGAAATACAGCTGATTTTTACAAGTAATTTGAAATACAGATGACCTTGTATCCAACAACTTTGTTAATTCATTTACTTATTATATTAAGTTACCAATAAATATTTTAGCCTCTGTGTAGGTTATATATATATATAGCCATGTCAATTGTGACCAGTGACAAATAGATGGAAAAAATACATTCAGTAAAATTCTACATTGAGATGCTCATATGATTTTTGTCTTTTAAACTAATAGTATGGCAAATTACATTTATTGATTACTAAATGTTAAATTGCCTTGCATTCCTGGACTAAATCCAATTTGTCAGTGATTTATTACACTTTTTATATATCACTAAATTCAGTTTCCTCATATTTTTTGCAATAAAATTCATGAACAAGATTAGACTATAATTTTCTTTTCTCGTCCTGTCCTTGTCAATTTTTGTATCAATTTTAGTAAAGTTTTATACCGGTCTGAAAAAACAACGTAGGAAGTATTGCCTCTTTTCCTGTTATTGGAAGAGTTTATGTGAGATTGGTGGTTTTGATGTTTTGTTTTCCCCTAAATGTTTGGTAGAATTCACTGATGAAGCCATCTCATTTTCTTTGTGGAAAAAAATTTTAAATATGGATTTAATTTCTTTAATATTTATAAAATTATTCAAATTTGCTATTTATTCTTGTGTCGATTTTGGTAATTTGTACCTTTCTAGAATTTGCCTATTTCATCTCAGTTTTCACATTTATTGGCAAGAAGTTGTTCCCAGTTATCTATCATCTTATGATTTTATTATGTCTCCAGGATAAGTCATTCCAGATATCAATTATCTGTGTCATCTCTCTTATTTTTTTCCTTGAACAATTTCACCAATGATTTTTTATTGAATGTTTCTTTTCTATTTCATTGACTTCTGATTTCTTATTTTTTTAGTTATATTTTTCTATTCTTTTTGTTTTCCTGTTACTTTGCTCTCCTTTTTCAAACTTTTTGATATAAGTTTGATTTTTAGCTTTTCTAATATATTCATTTTCAGGCTATGTATTTCTTTTTAAACACAGCTTTGGCTTCATCCCGTAAGTTTTACTAAGTAGCATTTTCATTATTAT